GAATCGTGTATACATTCTGTAATCGAATAGATCGCGCGCGCCAAATCTTCTTCATTCGGTTCGACCACCCGAATAAAAAAGAGACCGAAGGAAGCGCAATTCCTCTTTCGCTTCGTACTTGTTCCTCATTTATCGCCGAAGAAAATTTAAATTTCCTTAAATTCTTTACTCTCTGATTATATATTTATATATATGTGTGTGTTTGTACGATGCGTATTGAATCGTAGTACCGGCACTGGTTTTGTTTCCATTCGGACTGTTTGATGCTACTGCTACTATTACTGCAGATGCTGCCGTTGACTTCTTATTTTCTCTCTTTTTTAACTTTCCTTCTTTCTGTAAGCATTCGACAATTTTTGTAAGATTGTCTTTTGTTTTTTTTTTCTTCAACTTTTTTTTTTCATCGTATTTATTCGGGTCGTTGAAAAGTTTACTCGGCACATAATCTGCGACAATTGTAGGTTAAGGAGTTATAGACTTTTCTCTCTTTATCAAATTTGCTCGGTTTTTCGAAACCGTTTTTCCCTTTGAGTGTATGTGATTTTCTGTGTGGTGAACTTTTTGTTCGAAAGATTTGCTGTTTTCTCAATTATATGAATGTCGCGTTGTGCTTGTTCGTTTTGTCATTGGTTTCTCTGTTCTTCTTCTGTATTTAAGTCGTTTTTACGTTTGTTTGGTTGACTTGAAGATGGATGAAATCCTTTCGAAAATGTCGTATCGCATTCTAATTTTTTAGTCATGACAAACGCAAAACTTAAACATTTCAAAGGTAAACTTGTTGACAAATAAAAGTATGCCACGGCATCGATTTTGTTTGCACAAATCAGATTGATATGATTTGTTTCGATGACCGTATTTGGGGTCAAAGAGTTTTTCGTTTAGATGGTATTTTTAGTGAACAATTTAAAAAATGTTTTAGCCCTAAAAAATTTAGCCCTGTGAACAATATCTTCTACCACACTCTTGGAGGTTTCACTGTTCAGCATCAGCAAACACAGTCCTGTCGTCAACAAGACACTGACTTTATCATTCTTGTGCTACGGCTGTCTATCATATACACTATCATAATATGGTTTTGTCTTCATGTGCATCCTGTTGTTACCAAAAACTTTGATCTCATTTCGTCGTTTCAACATTAGCTCGGTGCCGCTTCCTTTTTTCTTTCTCTGTCGTTTCAAGGTATTTGTATTAAATTTAATATAAAACGTTACCTTAACTTTGCCATTAATAAGTTGATGCTGGAGTTTGGCAAAAGCGAATGAGATGCCGGGAGTGAGTTTTGTAAATTTTTGCTCTGGCTATTATGATTAAACAAAGATAAAAAAAAACGGTTACGTTGAATGTAAACCAACCTCAATTCTCTTTCTCTATCTCTCTGTCTCTCACCCAAGTGAGTACCGAGATAGTGATGGAGGAAGATTTACATATACACACAGGCACACACACAGAGGGAGTAACAGAGAGAAAGATGAAGCATAATTGGAAAATTAAGAAAATAGGTAAAGCGAATAGATTTAATTTAATACTCCACCGAAAATTCACTACTCGTTTAATATCTTAAATGTAAATTATTTTCCGCTTGGCTAAATATTAAGACAAGTGATTCGGATTGTATTGTTCCCATAATCGTTATCGCTTTTCCAACGCCAACGATGCTACACCACGACGACAGAAAATTATGTGGAATGAAGATCGTCGTTGTCGCTTTTCCATTCAATTCACTCCATGCTCACTTGTTCCTCTTGTGTGTTTTCATATTCACACTCAAACCTTCTCTCATTTTCATTTCTGGTCGTGCATTTCGTGTATAGAGGAAATATTTTGCGCTCACTATCTCTCTATATTTGTATGTATTTGGGTCTCATTGCAATTCGAAAATATATGACAACGAACGAACATAACGTGACGCCTGTCTGAATCTGCCACTTTCAGATACATGCAAATGCAATTTCTGTAGTTTGGTATGCTTCCCAGTCAAGTCAAAAACGACAGAAAATAGAATAGAATATACCGAAAGAAAAAAAAATGAACGAGCAAACGAACCAAAATTTCAATTTTCGACATTCAACACAAAAGGCGCGCATACGCACCAACCACGATGTCAAATCGAAAACTTAATTGCGAGAAATAAATGAAAGAACGTGGTAAAGGGAGAACAACAAAACAACCACATGAAAAAAAAATAACACACAGTTGTGGCGGGTAAAGCTCAAAGAAGGAACGACAAAGGAATGAGAACCATTTTTAATGATAAAGTTACAGTCGACGGTGATGCGAGCAATTCCAAATTGATTGGTAGATGCGCAATTTTTGCGTTTAGTTTTTTGCGCTTCTTAGTTTTATTGTTGGCTTTCATTTGACAATTTCCATCATATTAATTAAGTAGCAATTTTGTGTTCTTCGCACTATGACAACATACAAATACATTTTAAATGCCATGCCATCTCACCGTATGATCATTTGCTGCTTGCATTGAGACAGCACGTCATTATACTGCGTCAAAGTTCAAGAGTCTAACGTCGGACTCCTCGCAGAAGTGAAAAATGAAACTATGTGATAAAGATACACGTATAGATGTATAAGTTTTCGGTTGCACGTTGCCCAGATTCAAAATAATTGACGGCATGCCATTTTACGGGTGCATTTATATTTCAGTCGCACACGATCCTTAATAAATTAAGTAGCTGATGAAATTTTCCTGTCAATAAGTATATAAAACTCGTAAATGAAACCATGAAAATCGGTTTTTCGTCGGCACATTTTCTCGATGATTTTTTTTTTCTTTGCGTCGCTCTCCACCTCTCTTGCTCTGTGCTTTTCGGCACAACATCACCGTCAATTCTTTTATTCCCATTTTCGCTCCTTAAATGTCTTGTATATGTGTGTGTGTGTATCGTTTCGTTAAGTCATGCTCCATTGGCCAGATGCTTTGGTAATGTGTTCAGTAATTGAGTTTATATTTCAATGCCGTCAATACAGCAACTTACACAGCCCACATCCATTACACACGTTTTGGTGCACCCAAAAAGTTCAAAGTGAAACAATAGCAACAACGAAAGTTTGTGAGAATCGAGACAAAAAAAATCGAAATCCATTCGGATTCGAATCGGTTTGTTGTTAAATTATTTTCGAGATATTTTCATCTCGGGATGAAGTAATTGAGCAATTTTTACTCTTTATGCACAATGCACATACAAATACCGAAAAAAAAACCGTCCATCCGTCCTTTATTCCAACGTCGTTGTAGAAATGGAATATAATCGGATACCATTTGCTTGGTCTATCCGCCCGAAAATGTTCATATGTATGTGGTGAACCATTTTCGATTTATTTACTTCGAAAACAATGCTTGACGAAAAGTGCCTCCCGACAACAAAGAATACTAAAGCTTAACCACGTGAATACAACACACAAATAAATTCAGCACAATAGAAGAGCATTGTGACCAAATGAATTTTTTAATGATCAAACAGTTTGAAATAAAAGCCAAACTTGTTTATTTCTGATTGAACATCGATTGTCATTGTTATTCTTACTGGTTGTTATTGTTTACAATGCAACCGGATAGAGAGAGAGAAAAAAAAACAATGGACGATAGAAAATTTGTCGGCAGTAATGTTATTGTGAGTTCGCGACTCGTGCTCGTGGGACGATGGTGGTTGGTGTTGGTTGTAGTGAATTGCCTTGACAAAATGATTGTTAGACATTTGGATTGCATGAAAACCCATTTTCTATGGGTTGAAATTTTATTTACTGTGAGTAATAGAGCGATTAGCTCATCGCATCACCACCACCACCATCACCACCACCACCACCACCACTGATAATTGGGTAAATCGTAATAAATGCCGTTCATTGTGTGTCTGCGACAATATTAGGGCAAAGCGCACCCGATCAACCGTACCAATCATGCAACCAATGGCATCAAACGAGATAGAAAACCACACTCTTTGCAAATAAATAAAAAATTACAATGTATTTAATCTTTAGTCAGCAAAACTAATCTTGTGACCTCAATTTCGAAGGCATCAAAACCCAATGGAATGACTATGCCGAACGAAATAAAAAAAAAAAACAATCAGGCGTACAAAATCCATCACAACAACTAAAAACCGAAGCAAATAACACAAAGAGAGCGAACAGAATTTTTTTTTAGTCAAACGAACATCGGCGTTCCGTTTTTTTTCTTCTTCGTTTCACTTTATGTACGCTCCATTCGTTGATTTCTTTTGCTTGGAATTTGATGTGGATGGCAAAATGTGCGCTGGCATGTGTACATGGCAAACGAACGACAAGAGAGAGAAAAAAGCGTGCAGAAATCGTGTACACTATAATTCAAGGGGCTTTTTAGACCAACTTGCAATGTCCTTTGTAATAAATATCTGTATAACCGGTATCCGATCGCACAGATAATCAAAAGGAAATTTTTTCAACCATAAAATGCAATTTAATCCAAAGCAGCACAAAATCAACGAGACGAACAGAAACGGCTAGATCGGACGGTGAAAAAGTGCCGAGAAAAGAAAACTGCAAACTCAATAAAAAAGAAGAACCGGCCATTTTACTGGTTTACCCATTATTCACACATTCAGCGCTCATGATACATTTTATACTCTTAACATGTGCAACAATGAACGATAGTGTCACTGAGGATAAGACTTCTTCAAGTCCTTGCCATCGCACCGAAATGCGATTGGGCAGGGGAAACAAAAAAAAAACACCGTTTAATATACTTCTTTACAATTGTTTGCCGTGCTAGTTACATATTTGACCAAAGCAATAGAAATATGGTTAAAAAACACATTGGGCACGCTTTGCTTTTTTTCTTCTTCTACCGCCAGAGTGTGTGTATGTGACCACATCGAAAATGCGGAAAATTAAGACTCAACTGAAATAATGAAAAAATCTGTAGAGCTTAAAAAAACAACAACTACTATCACTCTGGCGGAGAGAATAAATCTATCGAGATAAAAAGATACATATATATATGCAGTACTTACCGTTTTCTTTACAAATGATACAAATCCGTATCCTTTTGATTTCATTGTCTGAGGATCTCTTACGACTCTACAATCTCTGTAAGTGGAGAAAAAAAAGAAAAAATGCAATAAGTAAGTAGTTTATATAGAATCGTTTAATGTTTTAAAGGCTCTTGTCTGGACGAACACACAGACTTTACATGTGTGTGTGTTTTTCTAACTACTAGTTTGGTTGTTAAAATACATATATTCTCGGGTGTTAAGCATTAATCGACTTCATTTCATGCTAGACTTTACCAGTCCTCTGCTACATGTTCATCTTTCCAAAAGAAATCGAAATGGAAGAGCGGCAGAGAGAGAGAAAATGCACTTCCATCTACAACACTTTGCCAGTCGACATCCCGAGTCGCAGACTACGTAAATATACACAAAGTCATCGGTGAATTGGTTTGTATGTGTGCATTTGTGGGTGTGGGGTTTTGTTTGCATGAACACCAATAGTAAAGTGTTCGGCAACAAGATTGAGAAAATGAAAAAAGACGGTTTTTGTAACTCACTCGGCACACAAGTGCAATTCTTCAAAGAGTAGCATTAAGACTCTATGCTATTCATTCTTAAGATCGACGCGCGTGCAGTAAAAGTCTTCACCATTTAAGCAAACATTACGAAAGAGCAAAAAGAGTGCGGCGTTGTTAGTGTGCTTTTTTATATCAAAGCGAGACGAAATAAGTTGGTGCAAGGGATAAAACCTTGATTCAATCATGTCATCACCATATTGGATATCATTTCAGTTTTGTGTGGGCCAATTTTGTGAGAACATTTAAGGAATAACGAATTTCCTCAATGATGTGCGTTCATCGAACTGCAATCAAACATTGACATTTACATGTGTAACATAATTAGTCAGTTGAGTTATATTGGACAATGACAAAAATTACGGACCGGAATTTATTCGGAGTTGGAACGATTCATACATTGCAATTGTGCAAACAAAAAGGAATCTTGAAAATCCCAATCCAAATGGAGCAGCAATAAATTGCAACACGAAGATGAATCCTACCTTTACACGCTTAATATCACAATCTCATTGTGCATATAAGCATTTTATGTGACGTTTTTTAGTAATTTAGCTTTTGGGAGACCAAGTTTCCATGATTTACATATTCTGTTTGAAACGGATGTGCACTGCTTGGCCGTTGTCGATACCAAATCTCAACCACCTTTGCCAAAAAAAAAACAAGTAATGCCAGTTGGGAACGACGTAATGGAAAATGTAAAAAGGGGAAAATCTGTAAGCAATTCAGACGAAAAGTTTGTCATTGAGTGTATGTGCATTCACATTAGCTACATCATTATGAGCGGAATGAAATTTTACGATTAATGCTGATAAGTTTCAGTAGTCATCGGCATTTTACACCCAAGTGAACACATTCGGAAATGTTCACACTGTTTGGGTGCTGTTTGGCATTTTCTCATATTGCTTGAAATCGAATACAAAAACACAATGGAGAAAGAGAGGGTGTGAGAGATGCGGACAACGAAAGAGCCATAATATCGAAATGTCACAAGAGCGCATAAGATAAAATGTTTTATTTACGCCAATTTAGACATAGAGATGACATATTTTCAACTGTACATGTTCATCTTTCTCTCGTTCTATATGCGTAAGAGTCACAAATGAAGCTGAAATTGCATCGAATCAGCAACAGCAGCAGCAGCAGCACTTGATAATTCCACCAATATTTCGATATAAACAGTGAGCATGCTTGAGCAGACGAACACAATCAAATTGAAGCTGAATTTGGAGCAAAGAACCAATTATGTAATGAAATTATTTCAAACAATGGGACTAATGACATCGTCAGTCAAATCTCTTTCATATCTGATTAACGTGCATTCTCCCGCTTCGTTTGGAATGCATTCGAATTCGGTGTGCGAATAATTGTCTAATGTCTGCATTGAATTCCGCAGATCATTACAAAGCAATAAGTACTGATTCACATTTATCTCACTCTTTCTCCGTCTCTGTACGGCTATATCGTTTCGTTCTCTTGCATTTCAACGATATAATGGAATAAATGGGAGTGAGAAGAGGAACCGAGAGCAGAGTATGACTTGTATGTCATGTAGATTTTCGAAGAAATTGCGAACAAAGCAGAGCATATCACCGCACATATAACGTGTGTAAACATGACGGATGACAATAATGATGACGGCAACATATCAACGTGAAAACTGTAATAATCATACTCGCATAAACACAAAACATTAATGATGGTGTCACTTTATAATTGAATTGTTCTAGATTACGATCATTTCTCGGCACAATCTCTTTTGTCCATATCACCTTGTGAATGTCTGATTGACAATGAACGGATGTGTGCGTATTTATATTGAATTTGATATAATATGTGTGTTGAAATAAGTCAAAATCTGTTTTCAATTCGGTGAGTAAAATGAGCTTCGATTCTCATCAATTTCTAGATTGATTTTCTTTATATAGACTTATTCAATTCAGGCTTTTTTTTTATGACAAAATGCTCATTTCAAATGAACCGAAATTTTCCAATTGAACATGCGAAAAGTTGCAAAAATTGGTGTGTAAATGATGGATGCAAACGGCGGATTTGTAAAAGGGCAAATGTTACGACAATGTGTTTTGGTACGAATAAAATGAATCGAAATCTCTTCGAATTACACACAATATTTCGAGGAGTGAATCAAGCGTACATAAAGTTGCATTGTTGAGTGAACACAACATATCAGCGTAAAGGAATCTAACTTTTTGTTTGACATATTAAATATAGTCAAAAAGTCGTAGTGGAATTGACACACACAACGAGATCACGAGTGGTGAGAGATGTCGAAAGGGCGAAGCGCAAAGAGCTAGAGCTAAATACAAATGAAAATGCATGATAATCCGTGCACATTGTGTTGTTGGTAGTGTTCAAGTGGCGTGTAACGCGCAAAGACAAAGACAAAGAGCAATAAAGAAAATTCAGCTTATTAAAAAAAAATTTTATTCCCTGAAACTTATATTATGAAAGGGTGTATATAAGGTAAGGTAAAAAGGTTGTATACACACGTATTCAATATATTCTCAGCGTACTTAAACTGAACTGAGAGAGAGCGAAATGAGAGGAGACTTAGTTAGGAGAACGGTAGAAATTAAAGTGAAAACTTTTCGTCAACAAAAGAAATGCGAAAATCATCGCATTTTGGCAGATTGAGCATGGGTGTGTGTGTGTGTATGCGTGAGAAAGATGGCAAAAATGGAGAGAGAGAGAGAGAGAGGAATGGCGAGGACGTATTGGTACGGTGTGCTGGAACATTCAACATTTTCGTATAGCTGATGGTAATGATAATCATGAGTTAGCTGTTGTCGTTGACGTTGGCGTTGTGTCATGTTCGGTGCCATTTCTGCCGATTCTAGTATGATTGAATCAGGAATCATGGTAAGCCAAGCCACTTTGTAGCTAATAATATGAGTCAGATTATACATACGATGTATATAGGATATCAATGTTGATACTTATGCCAATAGCGATTCACTATACATGTGTTTGTATGTGTGCTTTAAACATATGCGCCAAATGGAATAACGTTATTCTGGAATCTATTCAACAACAAGAACAACCAAGCATCAACAGAAAAAAAACACTCGCCATAAAGTTACCTGAAGCATGGATGAAAGTAGTAGAATGACATAACATTGGAATTCTAGATTACCAAAATGCCTTTCTCTATCTCCATCTTGTTCCCACTCTCTCTCTCTCTCTCTCTCCTCCTTTTTCTATCTCTCCTACTTTGTCCCACATAAATGGCATATTGTTGCGGTTGCTCTATGTCGATGTGTATTTTATGCTTAGCATAACACAAACTTTTTCAACGTTGTCTTTATATCAATTTATTTTTGAGCTGAAGAAAGAAGTGGAATGGCATGAGATGGAAACTGTATGGCAAAGGAAAAGACAAAGAATTTTTCAATGACATATACGTGTACGAAACAAAAAAAAAAAAAAAAAACAAAATCATCGCCGAAAGACAACATATGCAAGGATTTTCGGTGAGAACAATGTTTCGAACGACAACGAAAAAGACATGAAACAAAACAACAACAAAAAAATACACCAAAACACACACTGTAAAGAGAGAAAAAGAGATAGGGAAAAAAGACCATGACGTTCCTGTAGTCTACTCTCCTGCTCAAGACAACGATAATATAACCGACGACAGTGGCAACCATTCTACCGGATTTCATGCGTTACAGCTAGCAGCCACTGCAGTAGTATACATAAAAATACACGACACATATTTTGATAGATACGTTATTCGTATTTCTCGGATGAAAATTAGAATTCATTACACGTCGTAAGCACGTATAAATAATATGATAAGAGTGCATGCATGTGTAATGCTATTACACTTCCTGATTTCCTACTGCCAAAGCAAAACCATTGCGGCCCTGTGCATTTGTTGTGTATATGTGTTTGTTTTGTAAAACGTAACATTTATATCAGTATCTCCTTGCATCTCACTCTCCGAAAATTCGCTTTATAACATAATATTTGTAACGACCTAGCACATACACTCACGAGAAGAGCAAAGAAAAGGCAAAATAAACAAATGAAAATCCTATTGAAACTCTAAACGCAAAATACAAATAAATTTAATCTTTGAACTTTGTGTCTCGTGCATTTTCTGTGGATAGTTATTTTGTTTTCCCGTTTTTTTCTTCTTCCTATTTTCATGAAAAACCAGTTTGAATATCACAAATATGATGTGGTAAATGTGGTTGGATTGGGGAAAATCGGCATAGCAAGATCAAAAAAGGATCTTTTTTTCCTGGATAGGTCGATAGCCAAATTTGAAGAAATTTGCTCTCCCCCCCCCAATCCACGGCAGAAGAGTTTGAAAGACGGTAAGAGAAGCTTCCACCGATTTGCACGTTCCCAGCAACAGCATTGTGAACGAATTGAGAAAACCAAAAGGAAGCACATAACATAAATGAATTACAGCAGTGAATCAAAGCAGTGAATCAAAGCATTTTTCCCATGTGAAATACACGAGTTTATTGTATATGTGTACGTATATGTA